GCATATGTTGAGTTATAATGCACGCGCGTGACGTAAGCAGAGTGCTTTATGGAGCTATAATGAACTCGAACTGACCAATCACAGCGCGCGCAATTACTCGAACATTTTATAATATGCTATAATATGCTATGCTACGCTACGCTATGCCAGTTTATGCAGCAAGATTTGAATAGGTTTTTTCCCTTTCAGAAACAAAGTCTGATATTAGCAGTTTTAATGTCTATTTCTTTGTTCGCTGTCATATCTAAGTCTAGGCAACATCTATTTATATTTTTTTTGGCACACAGTTAGGCTATGGGCGGGCTGATGTAAAAATCGGTACAGAGTAATGTCAGTAGTGCAGGGCTTGGCGAGAACTTACTGTAAGCCTAATTTCTAATCAGCATTATGCATCAGTCAATTCCAGCAGTGCCCATCCCCCCCGGGCAACCGCGGGGCATTTGCTCACGTTGTTAGTCCCGGGGGTGGGGCATCCGCAATTTTATCGCGGCCCGGGGTCTGGGCATTTGCGTACCCGGGGGCGATCCCCGGGCATTCGACACACGTGTTTTGGAAAGTGCCATGGATGAGTTCATCGGGAAAGACGAGGCGTTTGTCGAACAATGGCTTGTCCGTCAGGGAYTAGASAAACTTGCAGATGTTTTTAAAGGTATGTTTTCTCAATTTCAGATATTTCTTCATTACTTGTAAGCATATAAATATAAGCGACAAGGTGAACTATATTTTGTTTATCATAAAACAATCACTGACGTGAACACGACCATTTCGCATTTCGCATTCAAAACTAGCCTAGCATGTTTTAAATTCATGAAAGTGGAGTTAAAATACTTAAGGTTGGCGAAGTCAAATGATGCGATCTCCAAGACAGATCTTGCGAGCTTAAAATGCAATGCATCATCATTTAAAATGTCTTAATTCTTCACGGAAAAAGTAGCCTGCGAATACAGGCGCCTATCATCGTTCGCGGCTGGGGGCATGTCCACCGCAATCCCAGCTATCCTCTAGCAAACTGTTAAAAACAAATATAATCAGAATCAACTAACACGTACTGCTGTCCTTGAAGTCTTACCGTTGCGTTAAAATACTGAACAGTTGAACGTCTTATTTACTGATTAATTAAAAAACTGCGGAGTTGTTGGAAGGCGACGATCCCAGGGGCGGGGCATTTGCCCTCTTTCTTCGTCCCCACCCCGGGGCAGTTAGACAGCTTATGTGCCCATTTTTTTTGAAAAAAATGCTAATGCCCGGGAGTTAGCCCGGGGGGGGGGGGGGGAATGGGCACTGCTGGAATTGACTGATGCATTACCAGCCACCAAAAACTCTCTTTCCCGTTATTTGTCATATTATTTCCCCCAAGTATATAACCTTGTCATCTGGAATTAGAAATGCGAAAAGGCTGAATTAAGAATTGCTAAATCCCCAAAACTTTTTATCTCGGATTAACATTAATCGGCCTTTGCTCAAGCCACCCAAACTCAGGGCGGGAGGTATGAAAACAAGATCATCTGGCGGCCATTAGCTTACTGTTAACAGTTTGGCTCAGAGTTCAGTAGTTCGTTGACAGGCTGTTTCCGGCGCAATGGTTTGGACCAGCTGTCTTAGGGCAGTAACAGCTGACTTACACATCGTTTGGTCAAGTTGTCACTTTACCCCCGTAGCAACACTACAACCACCGTAGTTCCAGCTCAGTTAGTTTGGTAGTAGGTCGTAGAAATACAAGTGGAATCAAATAATGGTTGCTCTGCCAAACACTTGCATAAGACTATTCAATGTGTTGCCATAAGAGGAACAACATCATTGTGGACACCTCAGCCGTTCTATATTAGCCGTATATAGGGTGGTAAAAAAAAATTCAAAAGAGATCATACGTCTGATAGCAGATCGAAGGAGTTAGTTACAAAACCTGCCGCTCGCTTCCAACTGGAGCTTGCCTATGTGCTTTGGCATCCTAGTTGAAAATTAAGATGACTGAAGAACAATGCATAGTTAGCGACGACGGTTGTTATATTAAATTCAGTCCGTTCGATTGCGGTTTTTGAAAAACTGTTCATCGTTGGCTATAGCAGCCAAAACGGAAGTTTTAGCTTGTGAAAAGTCGGATCAATAAGGATAAGTAAACATCCAAAGATTTCTTTTTCTGCTATGCGTGCTCCAGGTCGCGTTCTGCGTCACCCGATATTTCAGACTAATCTGGCTAAAAACAGCTTATTTTGGCGATTTTTCAACCCGTTTATCAATAAATATAGCCATTATCTTTGATGAAAGGGAAATATTTTTCATGGGAAATCGGGTCGACGTTCACGCAAAAAATAACAACTTGAACTCATAACCTGGAGACTGCTTATTTTCAAAGCGTCTCTAGTAAATTCAATGCATGCTGCTGAAAAGAAAGCGAAGATTGTTTTGTAAAAATGTAAGACATGCTAGCAGAAATAAATGTGACTCACTCAGTCGACTGGATTTGAGAGGCTGTTACAGTAAAAAAAAAAAAAAGAGAGAGAAAATAAATAAAATAAATCCCTGAAACCGACGAAACCTGCTGTCTTTTCTGTCCTTACGGATGGAGTTCGATCCCTTTGCTGGGGACACGTTACTTTATCGATGAAAGAAAAAAAAAAAAAACAGTCACTTCAAGGGTGCGAAACATGTTTTCTTTATTGCTATGTATGGTAGTTTAAAAAATTCCTAAAGAGATGTCTAGACAAACTTGAAAAAGAAATTACTTTAATTTCATTTTTATTTAGATCAGATCATTTTATAAATGGGTATCAGGGTTTTGAGTACCCTCAGGGCTCGGCCGGGGGGTGGGGGACACTGCCATATATGGGCTATATAGGTATGTGCCGCTGTGAAGAGTATGGTTTTCAAGCAGTTTACGCTAGGATATAGGGTATATAAATTAGAGAGTTTGGGTCTAGAGTAGGGTATCATTTTTCCCAAAACTGACTAGTTGGTTGAAGATTTTATCTAGACTAAAGAAACTAGGAATTGCCACTCAAAAATATAAAAAAAACAAATCGGCAAGTTTAAATTTACGCAAATTAACCCTCATAGTGTCGATAGATGGGGGGGATTTGGAGAGTTTACTCTATTATAGGGTAGCAAAATTCAGTTGAACTAGCTTTGGTATAGGCTAAGGGTTTCAGGGTCCCAGCGGCACCTCCCCACACAGAAATTTCTAAGGTACCCCCCGGGCCTCAGGGGCAGTGTGGTTCATAGACAGCTCGAGTCACGGTTGTTTACACACCAAACAAATCATGACAATGGGCCAAGCGGATGTGGTGTGAGTGTCCTGCGGTTTTGAACAGTTTCGATGATTCTTTATTTTCTTAATAAATGACATTCATTTGGTCTGGCATCAGGAACGCGCTGTTTGATGTTCCGATGAAAAGTTGGCGACGATTTGATCGGCGACAGTGGCCGTGGTCAACACTCACAATTGTTGCTTATACGTGATCAAAATGATGGGCGAATCAAGTCAACCAAATAACTCTGCCGCTGTCGAGTTGAACTGCTCCTTTCTGAGTTCGATGAATTTATATTTGCTCGTGGCCGGAATAATCGGCTTATTGTTCAACATTTTTCCATGGATGGTGTGCTACGCCAAACTTCGTACAATGTGTGGTCGAAGCAGTAGGGATGTGCTGTTAATGTCGCTGGTTTTGGTGGACTTTTTAACCGTTTGCATACCGCTTCCTATATACCTCTCGATGAACAACAACTGCTCAAGGACTCAGCGAAATAGCCGCATCGAAAGACCGTCGATTTGCGAGATTTTCTATTTGATGTTTGTCTGGTTGAAACTGGCCGCGATGTTTATCATTACGACGGTAAACTATACCTCCTACTTGGCTGTCACCGCGCGAGGAGTCTATCGAAGTATTGGAGATAGAATCTCGTCTTCTTTAGCGTGCTCTAGATACGAGCAAAAACATCGAGAAAAGCGAAATTCGTCCATTGTGATTGCGAATTTGGTGATTGGAATAGCCATAGTGGCCTTTTTAATAGCTTCGTTGCCCTACATTGGTCTTGGTCCAGAAGGAATAACACCATGGAAAGCGACACAGCCGTCTGGGGACACAGTGTCATCTGAAACGAACTTCACAACGACGTTGTTTTGTTCCCTAGAGCAAATAAGTTACCCAAGGCAGAACAAAGAATATACGTTTCTATTTGCGGTGTTAATGAGCAGCAGCGCCTGCTTTTTGCTACAGACTGTTCACAATATTCTAAGCTGTTTCAGCTGTGCAAGTTATTCCGTTGGCGATGCATCTTCGTTCACTACTGCCGTGCGAGGCTCGAGATCTTTCGCCTTCTACAACCGAAGGCTTGGAGCGGAGAGAGACTTCGCCAAGATGGTATGTGTGCTGGGGTTGACTTTTCATTTGACCTGGATTCCTGTCATGGTAAGTTTGAATCTAAGTTTACCATTCAGCGAGAAAGAGAAACCAATCTAGGTAATCCACTTTCGATCGATGCGTTTTTGGTTTTTAATTTGTACGTGCATAAATCGCGTGACCTTTCCTTAGCACTCTTTCGGTTTGGTTCGTTGAGTTTAATTCAGGCTTGTGTACGAAAACATCAGAAAGAATGACGCTTCAAAGATGAGCACATTCCTTCCTCCCATGCGATTTACGAATTTAAGAACCTAAATCTGCAAGAGCGTGCAATACGGAGTGGTCTTTTAAAATCTCGATTTACACACTTAGAAATTCATTAGCGCGTATTTAATTTCATGGTGAGATAATAACAGCTCACGAATTAGCAAATCAAACTTCAGTTTTGGGAGTGAAGTGCCACACTATCGTTCAATTGAGCATTAAAAGGCTATTTGTGTCAGATACGCGAAGTTGAATGCTTCTGTCAATTATCTCATCGCTGAGGTGAAAAAGGTTAATGCCCGCACATTTTGATCAGCTTTTCCAAGGCGAACGCGCTGTTGAGCAAATACGGCAAACATTAGTAAGGTAATGGAAGTGTATGCACATCTTAAACAGAACAATATTGCACCATCATCTTGCTATCTGCTTAACTCTAAGTGTCTCTAAACTATGGTCCTCTACTGTTATTATCTTTGAAATAATTCCTTGAGGGCATCGATGGAGATCACAGATTACTAGATTTGGGTTTTATTCTGGAAAAGTTTTTATAAAACCGCAATAAAGACTTTCATAAGATAACAAAGAATGGAGGTCTTCGAAGCAAAATGATGTAATTTTGCAAAATTGGTGGCCTTCAAAGAGAGAATTATCTTGACATATTTTTACTTGCGAAATACAAGTAGTATTTTCAGTCCTTTATTTAAAATAACCATGGGTGTTACTTCGAAACAACACATGTATTTTATCATGTTTAACGCCTCATCAATAATGTTCAAATGACTCTAATATCCGTTGGACGGATTTTATCCCTGTAATCACCTGAATAATTCATCCCTAAATTCTCCCAACTGTATATGACAAATTCAAGTAAACATTTAATGAGAATTGGCAAGTTTATTATTTAGTAGCTATAGAAGAAAGTGTTGGAATATCATAAACTTTAGAGAGGTTAGCAAGGAAAGGCAGTGTTAACAGTGTTTGTTATATACAAATACTGACTTACACATACGTATCCTTCGTAGACTGTTGGCAGTCTGTTTTCCTCTCAAAATTCAGTAGGGGTTATGAGGCGAGACGTTTTGGCTAAAGGGGAATGGGACGAGATGACTAAACACTCGTCCTTGTGACCCTTAGAGAAAAAACCGTCTGCCAGCAGACTATATCCTTTATGACTTGCATTAACATTCGCTAATATCCGGAGACTAGACGGCTTGCTTTCGTGTACAAATTAATTTTGTAAAACTTGACATAATGATAGAAGAGACAAACTTGGCGTGAGTTAATTTCACGATCTGCCCCCCCCNAAAAAAAAATACTGAACAGCATTTAGCGGGTAGTCTCAACAAAATCAGCAATACATATTTTGTCAAAACTGTACAATGCGCATTGGACCAGACGCGTAAGCTTTGTTAAAGTTATTTCGCTTGTAGCACCTGTTATTGTTTTGAGGCTAGTGGTATTGTTTCTGTTGTTTGTTCTATTGTCCTCTGAAAGGGTATCAAGCCATTCATGTCAGACCTTACCAGAGCTTTCACCCGATCCCATGCATTGGGCACATCCACAATAAGACTGCTTTAAAAATGTTTTACGATATGTCTCCTTTCCGTTGCATGATTGGAGGAAAAATAGCGTGAACTCGAGTAATCTAGTAAGATGGCGTTTCGCTTTATGAAAAGTGTTCTACAGCAGATAGCAATAACTGTTTTTTTTCCGGGGTATTTATCATATTTCGTCTCGCGACGAAGTCCCGAAAATGTATTGGGCAACTTAATCAATTAACTGACGAAAATGAAGTTAAGGAATAATCATATCAGGCGAGTTTTGTGATTCTGTCTCCCTTTTCCTGTTATTTTCTATATATTTCTGCTGATTGCTTTTCATTTCTTTGTTCAGGTTGCTGTTGGTTGCATAATGTCTGGTTACCAGATCAGCACCGAATTCTCCCAATACGTCATAGCTGCATCGTTCTTACAACCCAGTCTCAATCCGGTTTTCTTCGCAGTGTTTCTACTGGAGTTTAGAGAGGGTTACATGGCAGTGTTGCATTTTGTCCCAGAGAAGATCGTCCGACTTTGCAAAGGTTTGTTGTGTGTAGCGACTGGTAGGCAGCTACGCTTTGCTTGACTGGCAATCCATCATTAGCCTCCAGTTTCAAATTGGCCTCCATTACAAGGTTTAGGTCCAGTTCAGACGTCATGCTTCTGCCATGCCGAACTAAATTCAGGAATTAAGTTCAACAAAAGAAAGGCAGAAGTACGGCGTCTGAATCAAACTTCTGAATTTAGTTCGGCAAGCAACAGAGTTCGGTAAGCTCTGCCGTGCTACACGACTATGGCACGGCAGTAGTTCAAACGCCGTGCTTTTACCGCGCCAAGCAAGATTGATAAAATTATATTAATATATTTTGGCGGGATTGCGTTACCGCGGGTAGATGCGAGGAGAATGGCTACGTGGCTTCAGTAAATCTGGCACAACGCCTGACTCGGTCAGAGTTGTGTTTCTGCCATGCTACAGTCTAACCTTATTGCAATTTAGTTCCGCAGGGCAGAAGCATTACCTCTGAACTCGGCCTTACTTCGCGTATGAATTTTCTTTCTTCTAGAATGTGTGACGCTACCTAATAAACCAAACGAAGTTATCACGAACTCTGCCGCCGCAGCCCTGCCAATGGAGAATGGAGATCAAGTCTAAAACGATAATCTTGAATTTTAGCAAACGACGAAACGTCTAATGGCCTCTTTGATGTCATCAGCCATCCCTCGCTTTGAAGGATTATTGTTTACATGGTGAAAGCTTAAGTGACCCCTCAGTGCAGCGTTTACCAGTTGTGCAACAAAGTTTTATCATTAGACGTTCAAAAGCAAGCCCTTAGGAGTAGCTGCTTCAATGTGCATGAGAAGGAGGTGGAGCAGACTTTCTCAAGGTGTCAAGCACAAGATGAATTAATGCTTGAAAATGACAGTGCTGGTCATATTAACATCGTCGAGAAATGTACCGTGAAATGTCCCTAGCAACAATCTCAAGCGCTTAATCAAGTAAGCCCTTATTAGGGTGAAATTTGAATATATCTTCTTTTAGCAGTTTCTTTCTTTGAAGACTAACGTAAAGCACTGAGAAAAAGAAGAGAAAAAAAGTTTATAGTATTTGTGAACTAATATAAATGACAAGAAAGCCTAAGACAAGTGAATGTGTATATACGACAAGCGACAAGGCGAAGGAAGAAAAATACGGGGGCTCCCTATTTTTTTCTATCGTACCTTCCCCCACCCCCCCTTTTTTTTCCTCGGGGCTGCTTCCCAACTAATCGAACGCGGCTAGGTGACGGGTCTCCAAAGCGTCGTCCTGATTTCAACCAAAGTGGAGGACAATGAAATTCAATTTTAATGAAGTGGTATTTGGTAATAATTTGCATATGTAAAGTGAACATTTTTTTATTCGCTAGCTGCTGTTTGTCTCGTAGAAACGGAATATACGTTGCTTACATGACCAACTATTAAACTGAAGAAAATAACTTGCACTCACTGTTTCAAATGTTTTCTAGTCGTCCTTCATATAAGTCGTCTCTTTCTACGTGCAGTAACTCGGGGTTTGAATTGGGCCATGGTCTTAGTTTAGTTTTTTTTTTAAAACAAATCTCAGGTTATGCTGCCGAGTGCCGACTGGTATTGACTTATCAATTCTAGTGGGAATGGTTCGGGACTGCATTATATAAGCACCTCGTTGAGCTGAAATAAGTGAAGAAAAGGAAGCTTGTCAGCTGGATGAAAAAGAAACATGGGCTGATGAATTACAACTTATTAACCGAAAGAGAGGTCGTTACGGGAAAATCTCAAACCGAGACCTTGCTGTATTGACCAAGCTATAACGAGGTCATTATGGCAAGGCTGAGGTTTGAGATTTTGCCCATAAAGACCTAACGTTCGAGTTAAATAACTTGTTTATTATATACCCTTTTGCAGGCCCTAGAATTAGAAAGTATCACAGGGCGCGTTATATTGGCTACTAACACGACCCATACAATAAATGAGCTTACTGACTGAGTGGGAGGGTTGGAGGACATTGTGTATGGGCCAAATGTAGCGAGTTTCTGTCCGAAATGAACAATAAGTTTGTAAAGAAACAGTTGCACTGGGTCTGCAGGTAGATAAAACATTTAGAAAGGGGGGAGGTGGTACTCCTTCATGTGGGCTATGTAGGTATGTGCGGCCCCAAAGGGTATGGTTTTTCAGCCGTTTTGGTCATAAATAGGGTATCGATTTGGCCATTTTGGTCTTATATAGGGTATGGTTTTTGCACTCTAGTCTTGAGTTGGTATGTTGTTTAGAAGAAGCCACTTTTTCATCATTTCAATTACCTCACTTGAAGCGCGGCACAGATAAATATAACATCATTGTTTGTTTTATTGCTGTACATACAAAGCTTAATTTGTATGTCGTTA